TTCAGGAAAGCGACCAACACTATGCAAGTCCTGAACTACAACAGCAACCACCTAATCAGTCACAAACGCAGTTGCGTAAGAGTGCTATATCGGCGCGTTGAGGCGCATCGCAGCGAAGTGGAAGACAAAGTTGCTGAATTATAATATCTTCGACGGGTACTGAGAGCGAATGGGTACCAGCGCGATTTCGTTAACAAGTGCATACGTAAACGAGACAAGAAAGCAAATCCAACCGGACCAAAAGTTTGGCGAGCTCCTCCGTACGTGAAGAATGTATCGGAAGCAGTCAGCTGCTTTCTCACTCCACTTGGAGTAGGAGTTGCTCACAGGCCAGAAGGAATAATCAGGCGCCAGGTAATGAAACCGAGAGACCCACTGCCACAAAAGGAAACGTGTAAAGTCGTTTACTGGATCTGGTGCAGTTGTGGACAAAGCAACTACGTCGGAGAAACCAAGAAATTACTCCGGACGCCAATGGCCGAGTACGCAACAGCTGCGAGGAGGAAAGACGCTAACTCCCAGGTTGCAGTTCGCTTTACGGCACCCGGCCATATTTTCAAGTGTAACAAGGCCGAAATCCTCGCAAGAGGTGACAACCGCGTAAGCCGCGAGCTGCCCAAGTCACGGATCTCAGGGCCACAGTCAATCAACAAGCGCAATGAATTTCTGTTCCTATGTTTCGCACTGAGACTTTTTGTGAACAGAAAAATCAGTCACGTAGGAAGTGCCAGGTCCAGCGACAATTCCGATGGCAAACATAATTGTCGCGTAATTACTAAGCTCACATTGAACACGGACGACGAAATTGCAGTGTTTAATGACTTGGAAGCGGACTGTCAAGCCATTATCGAACCAATTACCACCCCAGCGGCGATTACGAGGACTGCTAATTATAGTGCGCATGCGATCGCAGCTTCTACTTCTGAACTGCTTCGTCGAACTCACCTATTCGCTTCTATCGGCAAATAGCTAAGTTATCAAAAAAATGCTCCAATCTCGTTGGAAAGGCCAAATAGGAGACATACGTCGGTGTATATAAGAGCACGCTGGGCCAGAAAGTGGTGACCTGAAAGCGGTGCAGACAGGCCTCAATCTGCAGCTTCTGTTCACAGACATCGGCCTCATCGAGAGCAAGATTGATCCAGTGGAGATCTGACGACTTTGCATCATCTCCAAGCTGATTAGGGCTCGCAGGCTCTTTGTATGGGCTTCGTAGGAGACTCCAATGTCTGACAAGGCGCCGGATCAGGTTTAAGAAGGCCAGCTTCGGCGGACCGTCTCGTAGACGAATAAATAAATCTGTCAGAGATAATAATAAAACCAAATTGTTTGATAAGTCAACCATGACAGTAAGTTCAAAAAGCAAAACAGGTGATATTTGGAAAGCGGTTTTTCTTTAATCATCAAGAGTTGCAACAAAAGACATTCCAAAGAAATAGATTCCAGTAGGTAGGCTAAGGCGCCACAATGATCCCCTCGAATGAGATAATTTCTACTTACTCACGTTACGCCGTATCAGGCCGGCCTAGATGGTCGCAGATCTGGAAAGCTCAAATTACTCATTTGCCTAAGTGACAAAGGCCGAGTGCCCAAGATCCACCTTAGTATCCTTACAGAGCGTATAAGGTCAGGTCATGATTTAAAATTTTTTTACACTTCCGGATCGGATCAATTACAGTGTTATTCTAGGAACTGTGTGTCCTGAGTCATGCGC